CTGGTGGAAACGGTGTATGTTCACTTCTTAGTACAGGGAGGGCATTTTTCATTTGGGAGATCTATTTCCTCGCTTTCAGGGGGGCAGAGGAGGGTCTGAGTGTCCTTGTCCCGGCTGTGTATTGAGCAACTTCTATTTAAATAATATGTTTTGTTTCTTAAGTTCCACATATGAGTGAAATCACATGGCATTTCTCTTTTTCTGGCTGACTTAGTTTACTTAGCATAATACTCTCTAGATCCATCCATGTCTTTGCAAATGGCAAGATTTTATTCTTTTGCATGGCTCAGTAACATTCCATTGTGTGTATAAATATACATATATATATATACACATTTTATATATCTGATACATATGTGTATATACACACATATATAATGTATACATATGTATACACACTGTATATAATGTATATATGTATACACACGTTGGAATCTAATATATATATATACAATACATATTATATAAAATATATTACAATGTGTATATATTATATATGTATATACATATACACACACACACACACACATATATATATATATATATCATATCTTCTTTGTCCATGAACAACAACAAAAAAAGAGGGGAGGCGGGTGGAGGTGATGAGTGAAAACAGATGATGGGGATGGAGGAGTGCACCTGTTGGGATGAGCCCTGGGCGATGTATGGAATTGTTGAATCACTATATTGTACACCTGAAACTGATGTAACACCGTGTGCTAGCTACACTGGAATTTAAAAGAATGAAAATTAAAAAGATAAAAAAAAATCCATATGCCAAAGTGGTGCCTCTTGGGGTGGCCTGCCCTTGGCCCCTAAAAAGAACTGAAGGAGTGTGGAAAACCATCCACTGGGAATGGAACATGCTGGGGAGGGGGGCCGAGAAGCCCACTGAAGAGATTCAGCTTTTCTCAAAGAACCACCTACATTTGGGCCAAGGTGAAGTCTACAGGGCGAGGAAGCATTGTGTACATAGAGAGTGTGCCCCGAAACCCAGAGACTCCAGAAGCACAGTGTTAAACAGTTTCATAGCGGACCTGATTTAGAGTTTGCCTTAGCTCTTCATCCCGCATCAGAATGGTGAATTTCTGGAAAGCCAAACTCTGCACTCCTGTCCTTGCAGACTTCACAGGAGGAACCGGGGTCAGAATACACACGTCTGCTCTTCCTAAAACTTTCCAAAACTAGGGTCCCATCACTAGCTCGTGAGCAAAAAAAAACTGAGTAATTTTTTTTGAAACAATGCTAAATCACAAATCACAGGTTATTTGCTTCCAATGATTTGTTAGACTATGTTTCTGGGTATTTTTTAAAATTTATTTTATTATGACTATTTTTTACTACGTTTCTGACCATATGACTGGGTGTCAAAGAAACAAACCAACAAAATAAATCAAGGCCTGCGTCATAGGAACAAACAGAATAAATCAAGGCCCAAGTGAAAGGAGAGTAACATGCATCAGAAAATTGACAGTGTGGGTGGAAATCCCCATCTTCAGGGTTACCTAAAGCTGCTTTTCTAGGAAGCCCAAGGATGCAAAGAAAAAGTGGGTAAAATCAATAAGCAAACACAATGTCAGCAAACACTTGCTCAAGATAGATGTCCGGCTGCTACGGACACTGGGGCTTGGAACTGGGGACAAATGCATGAGACCTGGTGATGAATCCCAAGGAAGAAACTCAGAGAAAACGATGAATGTGTTCACATAAAGGCTCAAATTCTCTGGAACAAAAAACAACCCAATCTACACTGAATTATCTGATAGAAGATAAAATAATGGTGCCCACACAGCTCTTGTTAAAAAAAGTCTCCAAAATGGACAAGCTTCATTGCAGTCAGGAAAAAAAAAAAAATGCAATTTGAAAGTCAGATTCCATATCACACACGGAATGCGCATGCATTCCATGCATATCAAAATGTCAGCGCAAACATAAAGCCATAACTGAACCACATCCAGATGTATATAAAACTATATATAATGTATATTTATATTTATATATACATGTTTTCTATAGTTTTATTTTATACAGTATGTATTTTATGTATGCATTTATATATAAATACACTGTGTATATATATTGTATACTGTACATATGTAATTCTATACATGTCATGCATTATTACAGAATATTGCATTTATAGTGAATTTACCATGGAAAGAAATGGGGCCGTCTTTCCAAAGTCTCCGCAAGCATCATCTGTTCATGGGGACGCCTGCACGCTCCAAGCAAAAACGCTTGTGGGGGAAAGCCAGAACTGGTTTTTAGTTCCTTTGTTTTTGTTTTGCAGCTTGATTGCGTGTTCTATAGAATCGACATAGAACCTTCTGTAAGTGTCAGGTGTGCACCGTGATGACTGGACAGACTTACACCTTGCCATGTGATGACCACCACCACCACGTTAGCTAACACCTCCCTCCCCGGCACATGATTTAACTATTTCTTTCTTTGTGCCGAGGACAGTGAAGATCCGCTCTCTCGGCGACTTTCCCATGCACCATGTGCAAGAGTGAACCAAGTCACCATGCTCATTCCCCATGACTTTTGGGACCTATCACTGGGAGGAGCTTCTGCACTTTTTATCGGTAGGGCATGAGGAGGACCCACAGGTGAAGGGTTCCTCCAGCAGGGCAACCAGGTGGTGACACAGCAGCCCCTCCCCAAAACCAAAATCGACTCCTGATGCTCCTCAAGCTGACTGGTGCTGAGTTTTGGGGAAACAGGAGGGTCCTGCAGCCCCAGAAATCAAGGTTGCATGCCGTTGGCCAGAGCTGTCACATGACCAGAATGGCCTGCAAAGGGTGCTGGGAACTGTAGTTCAGCTGGGAATCCCTGCACCTACCTAGAGCACTACGGATTCAGAAAACAGAACAGGTTTTTTTGGAGGAAAACCCGCATTTTCAAACACTCCTTGTTTTTAGTTAGTGTCTGCACTTTTGATTTCATGGTCTCAACTTCTCACCTGACTCTAACACATATCTTATATATTGCAATGAGCGTAATTCTACTTATATTAAGGAAAAAAAAGTTTATTTGTATTTTTTCCCCCATCCCACCTGCAGCCCTCGATACCTACCAGGCACGGCTGGGAATGCTTGTCACACAGGAGCTCATTCAACCTCACCATTTGGGGGAAGCAGAGCCCATGATTACACCCATTCTTCAGATGACGTAACTTGAAGCCCAGAGAGGTCGTTTAACTTGCCTCAGGTTGCACAGCTCGAAATGCAGAAGGCAGCCTGTGAACTCATGAATTAGGCCTCAGCGTCTGGAGATGAATCCTGACCGGCTTCACGGCTATGCCCCTAGGGAAGCTCAGTGAGGTCCCCATCCTTTCTTGTAAATTAGGAACACTCGTACCCAACACATAGTGATGGACACGTGAGTTTCTTCGGGCTGCCATAACAGAATCCTGCAAACTCAGCGGCTTCAACACAAGACATTTATTCTCTCGCTCTCTCAGTTCTGGAGGCAAGAAGCCTGGGATCCGGGCAGGGCAGGGCTGCACTCCTTCTGAAGATTGTAGGGGAGGCTCTGCTCCAGTCCCCCCTTCCCAGCGTCTGGTCAGTCCTCGGCTTGTGGCAGCTTCGCTCTGAGCTGCGCACGACATTCTCCCCGCGTGCGTGTCCGTGTTCACATTTCCCCTCTCACACGGACGCCGGTCCCCTGTGGGGTTAGCGCCCACTGTCCCCCGGGATGACCTCAGCTCATGACCGCTGCAGACTCTACTTCCAAATAAGGTCACATTGTAGTTGCTGCAGGCTACAACTGGAACATATTAACTTGGGTGTGTGTGTGCCTGTGCGTGTGCGTGTGTGTGTGTGATTTCTTCTTCCCACTCTGCAAGTCACACGGCAAATCAGCGTGACCACACCTCCCCCCCCCCCCACTGGAAAGCCTTGCACTTCGCCATGGATACGTGGCGGGGGAGGGGGGCAGAACTTCTTCCCGAGGGCGTGCAGGAAAACGGAAATAAAAGTATGGCTCCCTTGGCAGTCACCGTCCTCTCGACCCGTCTAAAATTCGATTCCGGGGCTTCGCTCTGTTCCAGCGTGAAGATGTTCCTCCAGGCCCGGACCCCCAGGCACCCACTCAGGCTCCCAGGAAGAGCCGGGAGTGTTGCTTTTTGCACAATACGGTCGACACCATCTTTTCCTTCCTTCATGGGCATGCAGAATGCAGCCAACTGTGACTTTTCTCCTCTTTTTAGCAGGGAAGCATGCCGTCCTGGTGGCCCTGGGGTGGGGCGGAGTCGGGGGGTGACTTCCTTAAGGACATATGCTCCCCACCTGAGACTCAGGTAACACTCTGGGTCAAGCAGACTTCAGGCATCAGCCAGTCAATCAATCAATAGGAGGCTTCTGCTATATAATCCCCACCCACCCCAAAAAAGATACGCCTCCAAGCACTCATGATTTGAAGATTCTTATTCTAACTAGGTTGAACCTTAACCAGTTTCTGCTTGTCACTTGGGTGATTTTCTTTTCCTTTCTTTTAAGATTCGGTTTATTTATTTGACCCAGAGAGAGCACAAGCAGGCGCAGAGGGAGAAGCAGGCTCCCCGCTGAGCACGGAGCCCCACGCAGGACTCGATCCCAGGACCCTGGGATCATGACCTGAGCCAAAAGCAGACCCTTCCCTCACTGAGCCCCCCAGATGCCCCCCCCACGAGGGTGACTTTCATCCCTTAAGATTGTAACTATGCTTAAGTGTTCACCCTCCATCGTATTCCAGAAGGCGCCGGTGACAACTCGTCTTCCTCGGCAAGGTTTCAGGTGCCCATCTGCTCCCCAAACCCCTGCCGTGACCCTCGGAATGGAGCAGACACCCTGCCACAGGCAGACACACACCCAGCGGGCACCCTGCCCCGCTCAGGACGACATTTATCCGATGCCGCTAAGCTGGGTAGATAGCTTCCTGAGTCGTGGACCTACCGCGTGCTGCCTCCTCCTTGTCGGTGGGAATTACAGAAAAGCAAGAACACGGCGAGCCAGCCGCGGTATTTTTTCTTTTTTCTTTTACATTTATTTAGAATGATGCAAACTTATGTATGACAGGTGTGGGAAAAAAACAAAACGGATGGATGGATGTCTTTATAAATGCTTCCATTGCATCTAGGTCTGTGCGTGAAGGTGCAAATGCGTGTGCCCACGCACGGACGCACGCACGCCTTCACACAGGCTTCTGACCAGCGTCAAGAGAAACTCACATACAGAAAACGTGCGGCAACCGTGCGGCTTCGTCCCTGGGTGCAAACAGTTGAGAAGCGTGCGAGGACATCCCTGTCCCAACAGGAATTGCGGGCCGCTGTCTTGAAATGGCTCAAATCATACATGAATCCCTGACATGAGACACCACCATCTGAGCTGCAAGTTCCTTTTTGTATTTGGGAAGCTCTCTTTAGGGCTTTCTGCTTTTGGCGCCCCCTTCTTTGGAGACCTAGCTCCCAATCCATGATGGCGAGCACAAAGCATGCATATTTAGGACTTTTCTGGGTCCTCTCCATGAGTTGCAGATGGCAAAAATTGTCTCTATTCTGATATTTAGGGCAAAGCCCAAAAGTTCTATAAGCATGTACCTAAATTGGAAGAAACTGTGCCAATAAGCCCAAACTGTCTTTTTCCTTTCCCCCTAAAATGTTACTAACATAGAAGCAAGTAGCTAGTATGCATTTCAGATGCTTGAGCATTTTTTAAGGTTCTCTACTACGGGTGTAAAAAAAAAAAGTATAAACTAAGAAAAAGGATGGCGTTGCCTGAAGAACAGAAACCTAGAGAGCATCAGATGGAAACTGATATGAGAACAGTCAAGAGACACATATTGCGGTCGCCGTCCCCTATTTTCCTAGAAAACCCGAAACCATATAAGATTTCACAGGAAAAGGAAAAGCATCCCCAGGCCGCTTCCCCCGCCCCCCCCCCACCCCCGAGATGGCTTGCACTCGAGCGACCATGCATGCACAATCCCGAAACCCAGCCTCAGCCTCCGTAGGTTGGGGGCAGGGGATGGAGGGCTGGTCGAAGCCACCCCGAGTGCTGAGAATCCCGCATATTCCACATCAGCTGGACCGGTGGGCACTGACTCCCCGATGAACACTCAGCCTGGGTCAAGCTTCTCCCCAGAGCTGGCTGGAAACCGCCCCCCCCACCCCCAGTGGTGCTCCTGAGACCCCAGCAGAAGACAGCACCCCCGCCCATGACCCCATGCCCCGGGACACCCCCCGTGCTTTGGGGCGACACACACGGGTCGCCCATGGGCACGTCCCGCACCATGAGGTCGTGTTGGGAACCCAGGACACAGTCGGCATCTATCCACATGCACGATCGAACCAACGGATGAAGCAATAATCTTCGTTCGACCCAGGGAGGAGCCCAGTTATCCTCACAAACGCACCTCATCCAGCAGATTTGGGGATGCTTTGGGAGGCGGCTCATCTGTGCCGAACAGAAAGCACCTCAGGGCGGCAGGTGATGTCGACAATGAAAGGAATTGTCCCAGGAGCGGCGAACGGGGTTCTGGTCTACACCGAGCTTCTCCCTAAGCGACCGCTGGATCTCGAAACCCTCATACATGTGCTGGTTCTGGAAGGGAAGATGGGCAACCATGTGTCACAGCTAGGATGAATTGACCAACTATATCTTTTTGGTCGCAGCTAATATTTGCACAAACCCCCTTTTATGGATGTGGTTTCATTAACCTTCACAACCTCGGGAGGTTTTATTCCTTGCAGTTTACCAAATAAAGCCGAAGCATCATGCTCAAACAGTCCACCTGTTGCCCCGTATGTGGCCCCATCCCCAGAAGTGTGTCTCCAGAAGGTGTGGCAGCTTCAAAGCGGAGCTGCTGCACCTGTCCAGTTCCGCAGGCTGTGCACTGCAAACTCATCCCCCTACACCTTGCCAAGACGGCGTGTGAGCCGTCCTTCAGCTGACAGGTGACCTCCCGGACCCAACCGCACAGCCAAGCAACGTCAGCGTGACTGCGTGGAGCCAAGTTCGCTGTAATGCTGAGACCCTCCCCCGCACCCCGGGTCTTGAACAAAACCCTAGATGGAGCCGCCATGCTCATACTTGTTAGACGGTTTGCAGGTTTGGCAGCCGGCAAGACCAGGTAGCCCCAGGATGAGTCTTGCCCACCTTGAGGGGGGGAGTCCCCTCATGCTATGACAGCGAGTCTGCAGTCTTGGTGTCTGAGGACCGTAGCTTTAACAGATGGGAAGGCAGACGTGGTCTCCGCTGGACCCGGTGACGTCATCCCTGAAGAATAGCTAACGGAGGGGACGTCTGGAGGGCTCAGTCGGTGAAGCGTCAGGTCATGATCTCAGGGTCCTGAGATCGAGTCCCGCATCGAGCTCCTTGCTCATCGGGGAGCCTGCTTCTCCCTCCCCCTCTGCACCTCCCCCTGCTCATGCTCGCTCTCTCTCTCAAATAAATAAATAAAGTATTAAAAAAAAGAATAACTAACAGAAAAACTAGATGGGATGTTTATCTAGCCTTCAAAAAAGCAAAAAGAGCTTCCAGTCAGGGAAAACAAAACAAAAACAAACAAACAAACAAACAAAAAGAGTGGGCTTTGTCTCAGATAAACGGGGAGATCATGACCCACGTTTAAAAAAAACAAAAAAACAAAATAAGAACAACTCCAGGTGCTGCAAAAAGAAAGTCAGGTAAGGTGAGGCGGTTGGGCACAAAATTCCGGCAGGCACCAGGAAAAAAGCCAACTCAGGTCTACACTGCTGGGTTTTGAAATGCCCACGGGCCCGTGCCGAAGTCGGAATCCAAAGTCACGCTCGGTGTGTCGCAATGACCATGAGAGCTGCCAGCCACGGGAGGGGTGTTTCAGAGACTTGGCTTTCCCCCAGGCTTCTCCGAGCGCCAGGCGCGGTGCAGACCCGAGCTCCCCGTGTCTGGATTTGGTCAGTACTCCCCATCCACCAGCAGAGGGAGGCCCCGGGCAGGTTTTGGGATTTTGCAATCCTACCTAAAACCCCGTTCCTGCAGGCCTCCCTCCTTAGGGACACAAAGGAGATGTGGGTGAACACACCCTTGCAAAGCCCAGATGGAGTCTGACGTGGGTGCTTGCTGTGGGGGCCACACCTCAACACACCCTCAGCTCGCCTGTGCAATAGAACCCCCTGTTTGTGTCTGGACCCTCCCTGCAGACCGGTCCTCAGGGCCTGCCACTGAGCAGCACCCACCACCCCTGCCCACAAGGGTAGCCAACCAGGCGTGATTCTCCAAAACCCAGGAGACTGGACCCCCAAAAAATCCTGAACTAGAAAGCCACAGTGGCCCCCCACCCCGTTCCCTGGGGTCTGTGCACAAATTCACCAGAAAGCCTTCCAATTCTGTCCCTGCATACTTTTGTTTTTGGAGAGGAATACAAACATCGCAGGCTCAACCCAAACATTTCCGAGTCCCTTACGATGGATCGAAACCACATCAGCCCTGCCGATTGCAACCCCGAGCTGAGAACGTTTCAGTCTACGTGAGTTACAACACCCACTCTTGCAGATCACAAAGCTGCTTAAAAATACCGGGGGGGGTGTGTGTGTGTAGGAAAAGCATCCCCCATGAAGCCCCAACTTAAAACCACTTCCTTAAGCAAGGCCGCTATATGGGACGTCCCCAGAAATAAGCCAGCCCCGTAACAGGCTCCAGGAAGTATTTTTATAGAGCCTAACGCTTACCATTTGTCCTGAAACAGTTTCTCCTTCTGTTGCGTTGGCAGTAACCCGCTGCGGCGCCCACCAGCGTGACCACCAGCACTGACACAATAGGAGACACGATTTTCGCTACCATGTTCCCTGCAGGATGGAGAAACGAAAGACGGTCTCAGAAAACACGTGGCCGGCGAGAAAGCCGCTCCTTGTCAATCCTTCTGTAAGCAGAAGATTTTGAGATTTTTGACGATGTCTTACCCGTTCAGGACATTCAAGGCAGAGTATTGCAAATAAGAGGCACTCGATTTGTTTTCCGTGGATTTGTTGAACTGGATGGGTTTGTACCTTTTTCAAAGTACAATGTCTGTGCCCTTGCAAAATATATTCAATGCACACGTGCCCACAAAGGTCTGGACACAGGCACACACCTCACCTGACACCTTGGAGGCCACCTTACTGCCAACAGTTTGGTTTCTCTGCCTGGGACCTTGCGTGACAAAAATCGACGGTCCCGAGAAAGAAGAAATCATTGCTTTTATTGGCGAGAACCACCTGTGTCTTCTATCAGAGTGGGTCAAGCAGCTGGTGTGTTGTTGGGATGGATACATGGCCCCCATGGGACGTTGGCTTGGATACTGTCGCCTGCAGGAAGCATCCCTTGTCCTCTCCGCACCCCGGTCTGGCATCAGACGCTCTGTCTGGACGCAGGACCCTACACGTTCCATGCAACCCCGTGTGTGCCGCCTCGATTTTTGTCTTGGGCTTCACCCCTCCGGCCCCCAGCTTGTGTCCGAGAGAACGGTAGGGATGGATGGCTGTCCTGCGAACGCCAGCGCAGACACCCAGCAAATAGCAACCCCGCGGCTGGGCACGCGCGTCCGGACGCAGAGGCTGCAAAGCGCTTCCAAGCGTCCTTCTCGCGGAGCATCTGTGACGCACAGAAGCTTGGCGTCGGGGCGAGCGCATTCATCCTCAACGTGAAGGCAGGATTGCTAAGAGGCTGCGTTCTGCCAGCAACGTGTGACCAGCCTGGGCCTCCTGGCCTCCACCCCTGCCCTGTCCGACCTGCTCTGGGGCGGGCAGGGCACTTCTAGGGGGCTTCTCCAGGGCCGAATGTCCACACCCTCCTTCCCGTTCTCCTTCTTGGCTTCCGTTCGTGCGCTTGCTCAAAGACACATGAGCCATCGGTGGCCCCGGGACAGGTCCACGAGACCCACCCTGCCCTCGGAGGAGCCCCACCTCCGCCCTCCTTCTGTGAGCCCCCAGGGAGGTGAGCACCCTGCAGAAGCAGGCTGCTCCATGAAAGCCTGTGGGTTAAGACAGTATGTCCAGACCCTGCTGGCCCGCCCACAGCCCTATGCAAAAGCGTGTTTTTATTAAAGACGGGAGCGGCACGGATCCATTACCCTGGGGGTTCCCGTAGGTCGAGTGTCCATCTCCGCCTGTAAAGAGGAAGGCACATGGTCATGGGATTATTCAGCAGAGTCTCCACCGCCGGGCACCCCGGAGAGGCTGGGCATGCAGCGAGAAGCACCGCGTATGGGGATCTCCGTGTGCAGGGAGCTTACCTTCTCCCAGAGGAGGGGGCGCACACTCAGCCTCAGGAGGGGGCTGTGGACGCTACCTCCGACGCTGGGAGTGCGAGGGGGCAGCATAGCGACAGGGCAATGCAGCTTCCATTCCAGGGGACAGGGGATACACACACACATTTACAGACGCAACATGCACGTGCACGCGGCCATGCACGTGCACCCACGCACAGGTGCACACACTCACGCCGCCACCCATGCGCGCACTGCCCCCTGTGCCTGCCCCTCTACCCATGCGCGCACCGCCATCCATGCCTGCGCCTCTACCTATGCGCACCGCCACCTGTGCCTGCGCCTCTATCCATGCGCGCACCGCCACCCATGGGCGCACCGCTACCCGTGCCTGCGCCTCTACCCATGCGCGCACCGCCACCCAGGCGCGCGCCACCACACATGCGCCCGCATCCTCACATACACACAAGCACACACTCACATTCACGCTTGTGAACACATAAAGACATGCATACACGCACACTGCCACCCATGCGCGCGCCTCCACGCATGTCCGTGCCTCCACACATGAGCGCATCTCCACACGTGCAGGTGTGCACACCTCCACATGTTTGCAGAATACATGCAAACAGACCTGCAGGCACGCATACAAGACACACACATATACACGTGCACACATCCACCTGCACACGCACGCACACAGAGACACATGGACATCTGTATGCAAATCCATGTGCACAAACTCATGCACACAGAGGCCCATGTGTGCACAGGAGAAATACATTCCCATATGCATTAGCAAGTAGACGTGTGTGCAGCCAAATACAGAGGCACGCACACACATGCAGAGGCAGACATATGCACACATACAACCATAAATGTGTGCACCGGCATGCACCCATCTGCACTCATGCACACATGCACGCGCATTGGCACACACATGCACAAGCACAGGTGAACACTAATGTGCACACACACGCATGTACAAACACACACACACAATATCAACCTTAAGCAGGGCTTACTTCCTTGCAAGAAAGTAAGCCTGCACTGCATGCAAAGCAACTTTGGTGACCGGTGAGCACACAAATTAGACCCGGATGGTCAGTTAACTTCCCACGCAGGAGACAATAGGACAAGCTTCCCGCCAGCGCCAGATGGGGTGTTAGTTCTCCCCAAGGACAGTTTCTCTGCACACAGCTCGTAAGAAATAATTCCTTTACCATAAGTATTTCCGTTAGAGTTGGGTCTAGAGCGCCCTCCTCCTGCAGGACAGAAAGACCACGTGTCCAGAAGTTTGGGTGACACCACTCAGCTCACCGGAAGCAAGATGCCGCATGAAGCTGCGGAGATTTCCAGCCCTCCCTCCCCGTGCAAAGGGAAGAGGCACAGTCACCACGGGGCGGCCTCTGACCACACAAGGAGCAGCAGCTGAGGTCAGCCTGCATGATGCACAGCTTCCCCTGACACCCTCTGGAGCTCACGGCGACTGGGGCACACGCCATGCTCATGCCCGAAGACTGGGCGCTTGCCTTAGCTCGCGTGCAAACACGCTTTCCATGAGGCCAGCCTGAGCAGTGCCGTAGGCACAGACTACAGTCATCCCAGCCAGTGAAACAGAAAGATTTCTGGCACCTTCTTCTCATGTCTGGAGACCAATTTCTCAACGAAGGTTTGAGATGACAAACGGAATGCTTGACGCTAATTTTGTTAATTTGGAAGTGGGAACATTTTTGTGGGTGCTGTTTAAACACTGATGGGTCATTTGATCAACTGCCTCCGGATTGAGCCATGTCCCCTTCCCCAAAATTCATATGTTGAAGTCCTAGCTCCCCGGAACTGCAGAACGGGACTGTGCTTGGAGGTGGGGTCTTCAAAGGTAACAACGTTCCAAATTAAGGTAAAATGAGGTCTCGCTAGGATGAGGTCACTAAGCCGTTAGGACTGGTGTCTTTTGTGCAGGAGGAAGGGACATGCCCAATACATTTTGCCACCTCCAGGGAGAAGCCGGGTGACGCAGTCACCTGGTGCATGAACCCAATCCTCGGTGCTAGTTTGAGAGCTGACTCACAGCTTGGCGCAGCTCAGCACCACAGAACAGGGGTCCAGACACGGACAGGGCCGGATGCACGTTCCCAGAGCCTCACATGCCAGTGAGTGTGGCCCTCCGGAAAACCACATCAGCCAGGCTTTGTCCTGCAGCTTGACCCGGGCCCCACCTGAGAGCATGGGGTCAGGGGAGGGGGGTTTGCAGACATTTTGCCCCCAGGGTGAATGATCATCCTGATGAGTGTGCTTTTCTGCACTCGGAGGGGAGACAGGTCCCCAAGACATGGCGGCGTGGGATCAGAGCCCTGACAAATTTCCTGGGGAATAAATGTAGGCATCCTTTGGGCTCCCGGGAGCACGGCTAGATGAGTCATTTCTTTCCCGCTTGTGAATCTGGCAAAGAACAAAACAACAGGTTCTGGGAAGGATCCTCGCAGAGGGAGACCCTTCAGAGACACCTGCATGGGGTAAACACATCCCGGGATCGGGATACCTCTCTGGCCTGGAGGGTTGTGGGGGCGTCATCTGACCATATGCAATGTTCCACGTGGCTGCTTATAAAAATAGCGAATAAGCGTTTGTCCCACAATTTCCAAAGAAAGAAGATGATGGGCCCATCACATCTGCACACTGAGTTTAAAGCAGACAGCCTTTGACCCCTCTCCACCAGGACCCTTCACACGCCGCCTGTCCCATACAAGCGTGTGCACCTTGGAGGGCCAGCGTTATGGGGACGGGACCATCTATAGGGTGACAGATATCTGTCCCTTAAAGCGGACTGTTTGAGCACCGTGCTTCACCTTTACTTTAGAAAATGGGGTATAAAATAAAAATTTGCCCTTCAGAGGTTAGGGAGGTTAATGGGACCACATCTCTGAAAGGACCATACCCCTTGCCAACGCACCATACAAATATTAGTTTCAGCCAAAAAGGTAAGTCACTCAATTCATTCATGGTGCTCAAAACGTTTAACACATGGCAAACGGAAAAGAAAAATAATGCTTTGAAATCAATCCACAAATTGATTGAAGGGCAAAGGGGACTCAAAGGTACAAACGTGTAGTTACGGGATGAATAAGCCCTGGGACGTCACATAGAGCCTGGGGACCCTAGTTAACAATCCTGTACCCTATATTTAAAAGTTGCTAAGGGAGTAAATCTTTAAGGTTCTCATTTTACAATAAAAAAATAAAATCTGTGGGGCGCCTGGGTGGCTCGTTCGGTGAAGCGTCTGCCTTCGGCTCAGGTCATGATCTCAGGGTCCTGGGATCGAGTCCCGCATCGGGCTCCCTGCTCAGCGGGGAGTCTGCTTCTCCCTCTCCCTCTGCTCCTCCTGCTTATGCTCACTCTCTGTCAAATGAGTAAATAAAATCTTTTAAAAAATTTAAAAAACAAAATTTGTAACTATGTGCGCCAATGGACACAAAAAATAAAAGTTGTAACTATGTGTGCCGATGCACACACAAAAATAAAATTTGTAACTGTGTGTGGGGATGGATGTTCCCCAGACCTAGAGCCGTGATTACTTTGCAACATTTAATAAATGTTGAATCACTCTGCTGTATACCTAGAACGAGTAAAATGTTCTATGTCAATTGTATCTCAATTAAAAAAAAATCAATCTTGTTTTCCCAGCGAGACGTTTTTTTTGTCAATCTTCCCTTACGGTAGCAGAGAGCGTCTGAGGGCTTCGAGATCTGCTGATCTGTTTGCAAAGAGCTCCATGTAGACAAGAACCCCACGAGTCATTCCTGTGGACTTTTCTATTCCTTCTTGGCAGCATCTGCCTCCCCGAAATCTTTTCTGCTGGCAGTAGGCCAACCGCCTGACAAAAAGTCCCCAGTGTGTTGGATGTTGTCCCCCTGGCGAGTGTTGCTGTCTGCCGTTCTGTTTCCAGCTACCTGGACACTGGGTTCCCTGGACAGCAGGCCGCGGCCAAGCCAGACGGTCAGCGCGGAGAGGGCTGAGAACCCCGGACGCCAGCACACAGAGCCCCAACACCCAGGACCCCAGGAAGAGGCAGGGATGGGCATGCAAGGGGGAGCCCGGCAAAGATGACCCCCACCCCGCCGTCCACCGGGAGTCCGGGTGCTGGGCGTACCGTGCGTGTTTCCGGACCCATCATTGCTGGGGTAGTAGCTACCACCGCCTGCGGGAGAGAAGGTACGTGTCAGGGATGTTCTGCTGGGAGGCGCAGGGTTCCTGGTGATGGCACCAAAGCCGTGCCCACGACTCACCCCAAAGAGAGCCCCACATGGTGGCAAAGAGCGGGAGCCACCAGGGCAAGTCCAAGGCTGCCCGCCTAAAGTCACAGCTTTCTGCTAGGACAACTCCCGCTGAGACAGATCCCCTATGGAAAGCCCGGTGCCTTCAGAGAGCACACATGGACCCAGACGGCTCCCCGTGCATGCAGGTGCATCGCCCTCCTGCAGAGATATCTGAGCGGGACCTGAAACCCTCCTACAGAAGCACCTTCATGAGACGGGCAGACTGGGAAGGCGAAGCCCATCATGAACTTTCTCTCTTAGGGGCCAGGCATTTTTACGGTTGGCTGATGTGGCCATCACAGCCCTGAAGACAAAGCTGTTTGTTCACGGTGCCGAGCATCGCAGAAAGAGGGCGCACGTGCACCCTGCTTGTCCACATGACGCATGTGCCCTCTGGCAAGGTTTCGGGGAGGAGGTCTCACCTCTTCTGGAACACATCGCGAACGACCAAACAGAGGAGAAACCTCGCCTACATGACACAAAGCCTCATGCATTACAGCCTGGAGCCCGAGACTACAGAGGGCTCTGTCCCAACCGGCCCCTGCTTTTGTTTAGGTATGAAAAACTCTCGGCAGGGGGTTCCATTCCAGTGATAGCAGGAACGTCCATAAAAGCTTTTTGTATGCCTGTGTACGTGTGCATAAACCTGTATCTATATACATAGGTATATATACATACATATGCACAAATAAAACTATACATAGATATGTATAAAAGTACACGTACATATAAAAGTAGACAAATATAAAGATATGAACACACACACATATGTAGATAAATGTATATAAAGATATATATACTCAAAATATATGCATACATTTTTAAAGCTGTCTGTGTGTACATATATAAACATATATCTACACATATAAACATGTATCTACACATATATAAAGGTATATGCATAAGCAATATTATAGAAGTAGATATATGCACATGCAAATATAGAAATATGTACATATTCAGAGGTGTACATGCATATAAATATATATAAATATAAAGGTATGTAGAAACATATAAATATATATACACTATATATAAACATGTATGTGTACATAAAGGTATGTAATACGTACATTGAGATATATAGAGATAGATGTACACACATATACAAATGAAGAGATATATACATACATATTCATAAAAGGTGTATATGTAAACAGAGACATATAAATAACTACATACATATATAAAGGGATATATAGATAAATAAAGATAAAGACTTATGTATATAAAGGTGTTTATGTAAATGTATATAAGGGGATATATATATATAAATATAAAGACATAAATATGTACATACATATATAAGGGTTATATAACTAAGTAAAGATATATAGACATACATATATAGGTGTTTATATAAATATATATAAAGAGATTCATACATGAATATAAAGATATATAAATATGTACATCCATATATAAGGGATATACAGCTAAGTGAAGATATATAGAGAGAATATATATAAAGTATATATAGCATATAAGGTGTTTATATAAATATATATAAAATATATTTTTATGTATATATAAATATATATAAGGGATATATGCATACGTAAAGACATATAGAGACATATGCATATAAAGATGTTTATATAAATGTATATAAAGGGATATATAGCTAAGTAAAGATATATAGAGACAGGCGTACATCCAGGTGCATGTGTAAAGGTCTGTACAGGGATCCGTACACGAATATAAAGATATATAAATACGTGCACCCACACATGAGGGATCTATGCCTAAGTAAAGATGTACAGAGACGGGCGTACGTCCAGGTGCATGTGTAAAGGTCTGTACAGGTCTCCGTACACGAGCATAGAGACACATAGAGAGCTGGATGCCTCTAAAGCCAAGCACACATCACGCCTTGCAGGATACCTCCATGCACAGAAGTGTCTGGAAAAAGGCAAGGCCCAGGTGTGTGCCGAGCTCTAAAGGAACGCACACACACGGGTACACACACACACGTGCGCGTGTTTACACAGACACAAGCACCACTTGTCAGTGCAATCTGCCCTGTGGCTAGTGTTGCCCACGACACAAACCTCCAGAGGGGACAGGTGCACGGAGCACGCCCTCCGATGAGGCATAGGACACGTGGAACACGGATGCCCTGTGCAGCGCATCTTCCGCTCGGGGCCGATTCTGCACCCAGACCTCCCCAACACCTCCCCAGTCAAGAGAGAGAAGCCGCGGGCATACCTGCGGGCGGCTTGGGTCTGGGCGGGTAGCGGCCGTCGTCCCGGTCCGTGTTGCCAAAGTAACCTGTGGGGTGCACAGAGCATCCCTGAGACCCTGTACAGACAGTGCTCCGTAAACCCCAGCCCGCATGACAGATGCATGGGCAGCTTATGGAGAGCGGGGCAGACCATTTGCAGGACACCCGGACAATGGGACCAAACTGCAGGTGTTCCCAGTGCCGTCCAGGTGGGACACCATTCTTCCTGTGGGGAGAAGGTATGGGGGACCTGGCAGCCTGGGAAGGGCAAGTACTTGGACGGGCCCCTTATGATCTGAGAGTTGAAGGGAGGTGTGGAATGCAGAGTAAGACAGTGATCTATCATGTCTCAGACCCCCAGGCCCCAGGACCTTTGCACATGCCCTCTGCACCGAATGCAGGCTTCTCTTCCTGCCTCAGCCCCTGGGCTAAGACCACCTCCACCCTGGGTGGGACTCCACAGCTCCCACTGTCCCATCCAACCCCGTCCGCTTGGTGACTGCCACACCCCCACGCCGAGAACCAAGAACCAGCCTCGGCACAGAGCATGTGCTCGCGTAAACACTATGGAACGCCTCTGAATACTGAAACCGTGGAATTTCCAAACATACCTGAGCTGACGTGAAAGGAGGTGCTTCTGAAAAGCCCCTAAAGATGGGTGCTGGTTGCCGAGGACACCAAGCCCCCCTGTGATGAGCGGGTCCTAAATTGCAATCCCGTGGCCCTGACCTCTGGGGATGGGGAAGATGCCAGAGGTTGAATTAATCCCCAGTGACCCACGATTTAATCAATCGTGCTTCCGTGATTGAAGCCCGCCAAAAACCCAAAAGGACGGGGTTCAGCGAGAGTCGTGGTTGCGGAACGCATCCACATGCCGCATGGGGGATGCACCGCCCCTCCCCGGGGACACAAGTCCTGCCCTCGGGACCCCTGCAGATCTCACCTCATGCACCTGTTCCCCCGAGAGCTCGTGCATATCCTTTATCACACCCGGTAGGGTAAACTAGCACCCGTGTTTTCCCCGAGTCCCGTCAACCACTCTAGCAAATTAACGGAGCCCTGGGAACCGCCGACCTATAGCCAGACGTTCAGAAGCTCAGAGGACAACCTGCATTTGCAACTCTTGTCTCAACTGGGGACGGTGCCCTGGGACTGAGCCCTTACCCTGCGGGATCCGGGGCTATTTTCGGGCACAGTGTATCAGAAGCGAGTTAACGGCTTGGTGGTGTTAGCAAACACACACGTCAGATACACCATGCAGCCTCCCGCATGTTCCCGTGTGGGACACTGGCATTGGGTGATGCGTGCTCACCAGAATTTCCCTGCCCTCTTTTGAATAAGCTTGCTTACACCCTGAGCCGGTTTTGCATTTTTTTAAATCAAAATACAGTGAAATTTAATGTGCACTTGGGTCCCCAAAGCTCAGTTTGGGGTTCAGTGATTGCCTTTGTTAACATTCTCCGAGGCACCAACTGCCCTGACCCTTTTCTGGGGATGCTGACATATGAAGTCTGGCGAGGGGCCCTGAGCTGCCCACTGGGGCCAATGGGGGAACGTCAGTGTTTGCAATCAGAATAAACCTCGGGGCCTTTAGAGGCGGCGGGGGGCAGCCTATCTGCAGAACCCGGCTGCAGGATGTGAGTCGTACTGGGGTGTCGGGGTGTAAAGGGGGTGCCAGGAGGCAGCAACAGCACCCATGGCCAACGATCGCCGTCCGCAGATAGGAAACTGAGTATTTTGTCATTGCACTGGCCACAAGCCACAGCCTGCCCACCTCCCAGGTGTCTCCTGCACCCACAGGGAGGCGGGTCCCGGCACAGACCCCACAGCCCTCACGTTTGAGCTAGGCGGTTGCTAATGCCACGCAGATGCATGCAGACCACTTGAGCATTGGAAGATGTGCATCCAATGGAAAACCCCACAAAAGGTGTCCACCTGCTTGGAAAACCCACAGAAGGTATCCACTTGCTTGGAAAACCCACAGAAGGTATCCACCTGCTTGGGAAACCCTACAGAAGGCATCCACTTGCTTGGAAAACCCACAGAAGGCATCCACCTGCTTGGAAAACCCTATAGAAGGCGTCCACCTGCTCGCTGCTCCCAGATGCCTGAAGCCTGCATGCTTTCTCCCCAAGAGCCAAGACATGGCTCCAGAGATGCATGTTTAGGGACTTAGGATGCCCTAAGCATCTGTGGGCAAAATCTGTCTGCACAACCCGCCAATCTCCCCAAACACCTTTCTCTCCCTGTGGAGTTCCAATGCCCCCTGCCCTCCCAGGGTGTGTGTATAGGACTGAGCTATTGGGGACCCAGACGACATCCAAGGGGAACTTCTCAGGGTTTGCAGGACTGTCCATAGTCAGCCTGCACCTCTTTCCCCTTCCCCATATTTATGATTTGGTCTCTGTCCTGTCTCTGAGAAACTCCCATGGAGATGCATGGCTGTCCGACACGGGGTCTGATAAAACTGCGAAATGCAAAATCAGGCAGTGACCTGTCCAATTTCTCTCCACAAAAATCGCTCCATCAGGGACACCCCCCAGAGCTGTGGGGACCCCTGGGAAAGCAGTTTCTGGAAACCTGTCCTGCCATCCAGGAAGGGCCAGCCGCCCAAGACATGGCGGCATCTTCAAGAGGCTGTCTCGAGACTCTGGAGAGCTCATGAGAGAGCTCGTGATTTCTCATCAATTTTGCTTCAAGTGGGATCTCCAGAAACATCTGTGAGCCGTGACCAGCGTCCGTCATGACCCCTCATTAACATCTTGGAGGACCCTGGATGCCACGACCAGGAATTTGGGGAGGGCATGGGGTCTGTGTAGAGCATTCCAGCAAACGGAGTTGAGGACGTGTGCACCCTGATGGAGGGATTTTAGGGTGGATCCTCCATCCCCAACATTGGAGTGCACTCCTTATAAAACAGCCTCTGGACATTCGAAAACCATTGCCATTTCACCATTGAGGACGGAATTTCGAGAGCATCGATGTGGACGGTGCATCCATCCCCAACGCTTCCGAATCCCGTCTTAATGCGCTTACCTCCACCGCCGTCAGAACCGCCAGGCTGCGGGCGAGGGGGTGGCCTCGGCCTTGGGTAGATACCTGCCGGAAAATAGCAAGGGGATTTTAGGAATGCTTCTGCAAGCCCTTGGCTTAGCCCAGCCTCACATGGCTCTACCTGGTCTTAGGGTTTAGGTTTTTGGCGCTGTTGTATTGCTAAGGACTTTATTGACAATGTTTCCTTTTATTTTATTAAGAAATCTATGGGAACTGGGTCTGCCAGGTTTTTAAAAACAAGGAGACATGGAGGGTGAATGACTTGCCATGCACAAGTGCACACAGGTGGGCGTTTTTGAACGGGACATAATTTGGAACCCTACAAACAAGCGGGAAAGGAACTTGTCCTCAACCTAATTAAAAATCCATCACAAGAACGTACAATACCCTCTGATCACGCAGTATTTTCCAGCGCTCAGAGCAAGGGGAAACAAAATGAGTGACGTCAGTTCAACCTTCTGGCCTCCCCTGCTTGGGAGCATGACTCCTGCATGAGTTTCCTGCAGAGCAAACTGCTCCTTATTGCAAAAGCAGCCTGATGACCACCCCACCCCCATAAAGACAAGGCAGGCTTCATGAAACCAGGTTGGAAAGGAGCCCGAAGGCTGAAAATTCTTACTTCCACTGTCGTCCGGCATTCCAGGTTGGGGCTGGTACGGTGGTTTTGGTTTTGGGTAGATATCTGCAGGGAAAACGACATAGCGCTTTTAGCGGAGAGAAATAGCCTTGTGTTACGAGCAGCCTATAAAACAAGGACATCCGCGCGGCTATAGATTTTCTATCTTATTCACATTTGTTGTTCACGGTGTTACAGATGACTATCGACCCGCTGGACATGACTGAGTCTATAGACATAAAATCTCAAAACTGCAACTTCAAGAAAAAAACCACACATGGGTGTGCACGCGCACACACACACACACACACACACACACACACACTGTTCCTAGAAGCTAGCTCTCCTGCCAAGAGGGTGCTAGAGCTCCAGGTTGCTGGCAGGTGCAGGCTTAATAAAAAGGTTCAGCTTGCAACTTAAAAAAAAAAAAAAAAAGGCAGAGAAATTCTCCCGGTGCATTTGTAAATTGATGTCAACATTTTCTTACTAAACATATTCTTCTCCTGGTTGTTGGTTATCTCTCTCTCTCTTTCTTTTATTTTAACTCTATTATTTACTTATATATAATATATCATATGATATAATATCAAATAACATCACATCAAACATCATACAATATGATACATATTTTATGTGCTATTATATAACATATATTACATGTTATTATGTTATATAAATATACTATTTATTATATATATAATTTAATAATGTACTACATATAATATATATTGTGTGTTATATATATTACACGATACATAATCATAAACCATATAATATAAATATATCATTTATTTTATATATAGTCTATATGCTACAAAATATATGATATATATTATATATAATTACATATTAGTTTATTATATTATATAAATATATTATTTGCTTTACATGTGTAGTATATATGTCATATTATATATGCTATCTAATATATATGATTATATATTGTCTTTTATTATATGGTATATAACTATGTTATTTATTTCATATACAATTTAAGAATGTATATTACATGTGAGCTACCTATGGGCTATATAATTATATACTATATTAGAATACATATATTCTATAAATCATACCTGTATTACTGAGGTATAATTGACATATGAGATTATATTAGTTTCAGGTGTACAACGTGATGACTAGGTATTTCTCCACATTTCAGAATCCACCTATCACTATACATACCAGCTACAACATATTCTTTTTTTCTTGTGGGGAGTTTTCAGATCTACTCTCTGAGCAGACTTCCAACACACAATTCGGCATTATTAACCGTGCCACGCGTGTTGGCGAGCCGTCTTCACTGTGATGCACGTGGACACCGTGCATTGATACCCTTGATTCTGTGACCCGTCTCCCACAACCACCCCACTGATGGACACTTAGGTGTTATTTTGTATCTCAACTAAGAGGATTCTTTTTACCCAGAGCTCATAAGATGCATCCCTCTATTCTTCCAACACTTGTAAAGTGTTCCTTTGCATATTTAGGCTTGTAATCCACTTTATTTTTAAGTATTGCATGAGGTAGAGAGTGAATTAGCTATTATCCAGAAGAACAGCCACTCACCTCAGCCCTGCTTACAGGACGTTCTCCCTTCCCACTGTTTTCTGGCTCTGACCTCTCTCAGGTACCGAGACACCCTAGCCCTGGTCACACCTCAGACTTCCACCCTCCCTGGGTCCTGTGTCTGGGCTTCCTTGTCTAGACCCCTGGTCAGAAATGTGCCCATCCCTGCAGAAGTAACAGACTGTCCTCATTCTTAAATCATCCCGTGCTACACGAGTATCTACCTCTGAGCTAGAAAGTGCACACATAATAAAAACTAAAGAGTATATTTCACGGTGAGATATCACCTCACACCTGTTGACTATTACAAAAAAGACAAGAAACAACAGATGTTGGCGAGGATGTGGAGAAAGGGGAGAACTCTTGCACTGTTGGTGGGAATGCAAGCTGGTGCAGCCACTGTGGACAAGAGTTTGGAGTTTCTTTAAAATATTAAAAGTAGAACTACCCTGTGATCCAGTAATTCCACTAACTGGATGTTTATCTAAAGAAAACAAAATTACTCTCTTGAAAGGTATCTGCACCCCCATGTTCACTGAATCATTATTCACAATAGCCAACAGATGGAAGCACACCCCCAGGGTCCATTGATAGATGAATGGATAAAGAGAATGTAATATATATGTTACAATGTAATGTATAGATAGATAGATAGATAGATAGATAGATAGATTGTATCTACATGTAATATGTATAAAAGAGAACGTAATATATATTTTGCAATGTAATGTATGTATCACAATATATACAAATATAGATATGTTGTGTCTATATGTAATATGTATATTATAGTGTAATGTATATATTATAATATATACAGATATAGATATATTTATATGTAATATGTATATTGCAATGTAATGCATACATTGCAATATATACAGATAGAGATATATTGTATCTATATGTAATATGTATATTGCAATATATACAGATAGAGATACAGATAGAGATATATTGTATCTATATGTAATATGTGTATTGCAATGTATTGTATATATTACATTGTATCTGTATGTAATACGTATATTGCAATGTATATATTATAATAAATACAGATATAGATATATTGTATCTCTATGTAATATGTATATTGCAATGTTATGTATATATTGCAATATAGAGAGAGATATATTGTATCTATATGTAATATAGATATTGCAATGTAATGTATACATTGCAATATATTCAGATATAGATATAATGGAATATTACTTAGCCATGAAAAAGAAGAAAATCCTGCCATTTGTGACAATATGGCTAGAAGTTGAGGGCATTATGCTAAGTGAAATAAGCCAGACAAGCAAGACAAAGGCCACCCATCTCACTATATGTGGAATCTTAAAAAAAAACAAATATAAAGCAACGGCCAGGTCATACACACAGAGAACAGATTGGTGGTTGCAGAGATGGGAGGTCAGGGAGGCCAAAATTGCTGAAGGTGGTCAAAAGGAAATCATGAAAAAATACGTCGCTTAGGTGCGCACATCCAACAGAAATCAAAATGAAGCAAAGCGAGGGAGCTCACCTATACAAAATTCAGTGTCATGTTTAACTTTGATGGGGAGACGGAGAGATAGGAAGGGAGTTCGCAGGTAGATGTAGCCTATCGCCAAGTACCAGTTCCTGAATTCTTCATGAAATTACTTAAAATACAATAAGACTCTCCTTGGACAAAGACAACAAAGGCACATAAAACAAGAATCACGATTCATTGAAATTTTGTGCAGGTTTTAGGTTTTTGGCGTTGTTGCATCGCTAAGAACTTTATTGACAATGTTTCCTTTTATTTTATTTTACTTTATTTTATTTTATTAAAAAATTTATGGGAACTGGGTCTGCCAGGTTTTTGAAGCCAAGGAAACACAGAGGGTAAATGACTTGCCATGCACAGTGCATACAGGTGGGCGTTTTTGAACAGGACATAATTTGGAACCCTACAAACTTGTCCTCAGCCTAATTAAAAATCCATCACAAGAATGTACAATACCTCTGATCACACAGTATTTTCCAGCGCTCAGAGCAAGGGGAAATGAAATGAATGATGTCGGTTCAACCTTCTGGCCTCCCCTGCTTAGGAGTGTGACTCAGTTTCCTGCATAGCAAGCTGCTCCTTATTTCAAAAGCACCCTGATGACCACTGCCCCCCCCAATAAAGACAAGGTGGGCTTCACGAAACCAGGTTGGAAAGGATCCCAAAGGCTGAAAATTCTTACTTCCACTGTCGTCCGGCATTCCAGGTTGGGGGTGGTACGGTGGTTTTGGTTTTGGGTAGATATCTGCAGGGAAAACGACATAGCGCTTTTAGCGGAGAGAAATAGCCTTGTGTTACGAGCAGCCTATAAAACAAGGATATCCGCGCGGCTATAGATTTTCTATCTTATTCACATTTGTTGTTCATGGTGTTACAGATGACTATCGACCCGCTGGACATGACTGAGTCTATAGACATAAAATCTCAAAACTGCAACTTAAAGAAAAAAAACCACACATGGGTGTGCACGCGCACACACACACACGCACACACACACACACACACACACTGTTCCTAGAAGCTAACTTTCATGGCAAGAGGGTGCTAGAGCTCCAGGTTGCTAGCAGGTGCAGGCTTAATGATAAGGTTCAGCGTGCAACTTAAAAAAAAAGGCAGACAAATTCTCCCGGTGTATTTTTAAATTGATGTCAATGCTTTCTTAGTAAACATATTCTTCTCTTGGTTGTTGGTTATCTCTCTCTCTCTTTCTTTTATTTTAAATGCATTATTTATTTATATACTACATATCATATTATGATATATGCTATATTATATCTTATATATAACTATATGTTAAATGTTATGTTATATAAATATATTAAATATTTATATTATTTTTATATATATTTTAATAATATATGGTACATATAATATATACTATGTGTGTGTCATAAATGTACTATATCATATATAATTATATACTATATAATATAAATTATTATTTATTTTATATATAGTATATATGCTACATAATATATATTGTCTGTAATTACAGATTACATTTTATTAAATTATATATATTATTTACTTTACATGTATATCACATATGCTATATTATATACTACATAATGTATATAATTATATTCTATTTCATTATATGGTATATAAATATATTATTTATTTTACATGTAATTTACTTTTTTATGTTTTAAAAGATTTTCTCTATTTATTTTAGAGAGAGAGAGTGGACAGAGGAGAAGCAGAGGGGGAGGGGGAGGAATGGAGAAAGAATCTCAAGCAGACTCTGCTAAGTGTGGAGCCAGATGCTGGGCTCGATCTCAGGACCCTGAGATCATGACCTGAGCTGAAACCAAGAGTCAGACACTTAACTGACTAAGCCACCCAGGTACCCCTTATATGTAATTTAATAATGTATGTACTGTATATAATATATAGCATGTGTGCTCTACTTGTGCTATATAATATATATAATTAGACATTGTATTTTATTGTATGGTATATAAATATATTATTTATTTTATATATAATTTAAGAATGTATATTGCATGTGACCCACCTATGTGCTATGTAATTGTATATCATAACACGTATGTCGTATATGTCACGTCTCTATTACTGAGGTGTCATTGACATATAAGGTTATATTAGTTTCAGGCTTACAACATGACGATTGGGTATTTCTGCACAGGTCAGAATCTAGTTAACACCCATCACCATAGCTACCAGCTACCACACATTCTTTTTTTCTTGTGGGGAGAACTTTCCAGATCTACTCCCCAAGCAGCCTTCCAGCACGCAATTTGTCATTATTGACCGTGCCGCTCCTGTTGGCGAGCTGTCCTCATTGTGATGCACGTGGACGCCCTGCGTTCATACTCACCTGAGCCTGGCTTCTTGGTGGGTTCTGTGCACAAAGAGAAAAAAACAAATCCAGTCAGCATCGAAGATTTGTGCACAGCTCACAGAAAGAACCGTTAACACCCTTATAAAAAGGGAAAATTTCAAGGCACTGAATATGACGTGTTTTGAACACAAGTCTCATCGTGTATTGTTGGGGGCGGAGGAAAAGAAAGCAAACACGCTTAGAATCCATACCTACTTGTCCTCCCTGGGAGCTGTGCAGGGTTGGGATGGTGGGAGGAAATTTAGTGAGGTGGTCCGCCCGGCTCATGGGCACATAAGTTAGAACAAAGGCTTTCCGGCGGCGAGGGAGAGATACTTTGCACAAAGGTCGACTTAGCCGAGAGCATCCGGGGCCGGCGGGCACGTATGTGCTGCCTCGTGCATCAGGAAGGCAGCCACGTGTCATCTCTCTCTTTCATGTATGTGTTTATTCAGTCAACAAACACTGCCTGAGTGCCCACGGGTACTGGGGACTGTGTAATGGGGGTGCACACAGCCCCCCCGGGTGATTGCACAACCGCGAGGCCAGCATTCGAGGTTGTGGACATTGGCTGAGCGGTGCCTGGGGTGCAAAGCACAGTGTGGGTGAGCATGCGTGTGGGGTCTGGGGGAGCAGACGGAGAGCAAGAGGAGCTCAGCGGAGGGAGGACAGATGGGACGGCCTTGGTGCACGCTGGCCGGGCTCCTTCTGAGCAGACGAGACCACGTGTCCTCCAAGCAGACCAGACCATGTGCTTGAACTCCCTTCCTGCAGTTAGCATCACGTGTGCTCACGGTGTAACCACGCGGTGGCAGGTGCCAGTGCTCCCTCCTTTCCAGGGCTGAGTCAGATTCCTTCCATGCATGGACCATCTGCCCCGGGGCTACCGTGCCCTCCAAGCTGTGCACACCGGGGACAGTGAAGCCTGAGGACCCCACTGCAGCTTGACGGGGGAAACAGAGTCTCCACCTTGGCGTGCGTCCACCATTAGCTTCTCCCACTATGCGGACCGTCACCCCCTATCTGCTCCATGGTGGTTCAGATCAGCGAAAACCTCCGTGCATGGGGAAAATCCCCATGGGGGTGGGTGGTTTTGCATCAGGCAGTCTCTGTCCTTTGTAAGGTAGGGGTCTGTGTGCCCAGCCCGTCCTTGTTGTTACCACCCCTTGTCTGCCTGCGCTGAGGGACCGAGGGATGTTGCCGGAGCCAGAACCCGCTGATGATGGTTCTCAGAGCAGACAAGCCTCTGTCTTTCTTTTAAAAGAAGACCCCCCTCCCCATCCCACCGTGTGTGTGTGCCACCCATCCAGGTGTGGACACTGCGTGCCTCCCAGCTGGACCCGATTCCAGACCCTCCTGCATGGTCCAGGAGCTGAATATTCAGCTTTCTGGCAGCAAGCACGTCCAGCTGGGCTCAAAAATCCTAAAGACAGGGCATGGGGGGCTCTCCAACCCCACGCCCCCTTTCCGGGGAAAGCGAGCAGCCCCGTCCACGGAGGTGGATGGAGAACCTGCTGGGAGGGAGATGCCGCAGACCCCCAGAGCAGTGGCCAAGCTGCGGCAGAAGCAACCCCCCGCCCGCCCCCCGGAATACAGTCACTCACCGGGGTCATCGAGAGCGTCGGCCAAGTCGAAGTCACGCTGACCTGTGGGGGGCACGGAGGGTGTAAGTGGACCGGACGGGAGACGTCAGGGGTCCTGGCTCTTGGCTGCAGGCTGCTCCCCTCCGCCCCATCTGCCCGCGCTCAGCCAGACGGGGGCCTCGGCGCAAAGGCCAGCCCACTGCGAGAGCTCCGCGGAGGGTCTCAGTGTCTCGACCTCCCCCCAGTGTGTTTGTTAGATGAGTATCTCATCTTTCCCAGCAGCTGGGTGCCCCTCACCCAAGACACATCTTACAGCAGATTATTACGGCGTTGCAGCCTCCAGGGAGGAAGGAATCCTCCTGGGATCCCAACTCCTTCTAGCTCCCTCCCGAGCAGAACACGGGTATGTGTCCGAAACGCCAAGCATCCGTGCGTTCTGCAAACACCGCTGGGTGTTGGGCGTGTGCCAGTGAAGCCCCCAAGCCCTGCTTCCTAGCTCTTTCAGGGGAGACAGGTGCATGAGCACCCCCAAAAGGGAGGGACAGGTTGCCCTGGGGACCAGAAAAACGAGGCAGCGGGCAATTGCTCTTCTTGTGTGAGCACACCTGGAGGTCTTCCCAGAGGAGGGGATGTGTGAGCTGTTTCTAGGGTGCCCGTTTTCTCACGACAACGAAACACCCCAATTATCAGACAGCAGCACTTCCGAGACAAGAGAAGTTCCCTCACGTCAAGGGACAGAAACTCATATTTTTAAAATCGGGCCGAGGGGTGGCCACGGCCCGAGGCTCACACCAGGACTAGCAAGCTGCACCCCGCTTGTCCCTCTGCTCCCGAAGCCACGGTTTGGGACGCGATCCTGCCCGACTGACCGCAACAAGGACTCAAAACCAACTGTTTTTCCCCCTGAACCCGGAGCCCAAACCTCCCCCTGCCGAGCGAGCCAGGGAAGTGTTACTTTCGCTTTGCAAACCGGGGCCTGACAACAAAGGCTTCTCTCACCTCTGACTGAGTCCTTGCGCTGTAGGCATTTGGGGAGACGGTCCCCAGGAGCCAGTTCCCACCCCTGTTTCTACCTTAGAGAACGCCCCCCCCGGGGGGGAAATGCATATGCAGAATTTGGGGTATTTTCCTTTCTACGGGTGGGTGTGCGATGCAGGCCCGGCCACACGCCACCCCCTCGCTCTCCAGGACCTTCCCCAGAAGGCTTTGCACAACACTCCGAACCAGGCCCTCCTCCCCGAGCTCACAAATTTCTGCGGCTTTCTGGCAAAGAAATCCGGAATCTTGGCAGGAGCCCAGACGTATTTCTGCTTTTTTGCTGGCTCAACTCGGAGAAGCTCTGGGTGGATCAACGTGCATGGGGGGCACGGGGAGTGTGGGCTCTCCAGCTCTGGGGAAGGGGAGCCCCCCGGGGCTGACGACTCGGATGCTCTCCAATCCCAGGGTGCTGATGCTTGGCACCACCTCCTGCATTCACCAAAACTCTCGGAATTTCTCCATCTGAAATGCTTCAGCTGGAGACCCTTATCCGTGTGTATTTTCTCTAAAAAATACCCAAAATCTTTTAAATGAGCTGAGGATGGCCCTGGGCCACCCCAGGTTCCTCTCCTGCCCATCAAGACTCTTCTTCCCGCACAAATTTGCCCCTTTCGCTGTTCCCAAAATTGCAAGAGCGACGTCAGAGGACGTTTCCGATTCTGGCCCATTTGAATCCCCTTTTGGGGGTGACAACTTTTTTTTTTTTTTTTCCAAACAGGTTCGCTGAGATCGAATTCGCCCTGCGGACGATTCGCCCATTTAACGCGCACACTTGGGCGGCATGGAGCACGTTCCCCGGGTCATGCAAAGACCACCTGTTTCTATTTCCAGAACATTCCACTGCCTGCAAAGGAGTCCCACCAGCAGCCCGTCTCCAGCCCCCTTCCGCAGACCCCGGTGACCACAGACCAGGAGCCGGTTTCCTGGGAGGCTTTATGGGCAGAGTCAGAATTCACACTGGACCCTCGGGCAGCCTCTGCCGCAGCTCCACGCCCCGGGAAGGAGTCTGGGCGTCGGGAACCAGGTGACCCCTGGACGCTGGGTGGCCTCCGCGTGCAGCAAGCTTTGCTCGGCAAGCACAAGCCTCTGAGGGTGGGGGACCCCTACCCTAGGCTGGTGTGCAGTGTGCTCAGGAGCAAGCCCCGCGGTCCACACTGGAGGCCCCGGGGGACGTGCCCCCTTCCAGAGCCAATCACGCTGAGCGGCTTCGGACTGTGGAGGCGTGGCTATGTCCCTGGGGGGCGGGGGGGGGCCCCGTCTGCCCCGCCAGGGTCTGCTCTGCTCTAGCCTCTGACTGCTACTTGTGCAGGAACAGCCTGGGCTCCATCTGCCGCCCCAGGGGCTCTCTCTGGCCATCCTCGTCCAGGGCGGACGCACAACACTCCGCTTCAGGCTGGCTTCTCAGACACCCCCTTGCGGGACGGCTGAGGGCGCACTGGCTGGGGGCGCACACCCCCTTCCGTGCAGCTCCTGTGCGCAGGACTCCGCGTCAGCCTGGCTTCTCAGACACCCCCTTGCGGGACGGCTGAGGGCGCACAGGCTGGGGGCGCACACCCCCTTCGGTGCAGCTCCCATGCACAGGCCCCCCACCCCCGCAGGCCCTGACATTCAGGAATGACCGTCGCCATTCTGTGCCAGGGCCTCACCCCCCGAGTTCCAGGCACCCCCGCAATAACAGCCGCGCTCCGAAAGCTGCTCCAAATGCCTCGACCACGCCCACCGTCCCAGATAAGCAAAGGCCTCCGTGTTATCCGCCCTGCCGGCCCACCCGGCTGGCCTCTTCCAAATGCCTGTGCCCAGCGGGTGGGCGCTCCACGCGCTGCATGTAGGATCCCTTTCTGCCTCCTGATCTCTGCGTGCATCAGGAACCAGGGTGCCCCCTCCCCGCCTTTGCAAACCTCCCCGGTCTCCGTGTCCCCTCCCTTGTCAGCAGTACCTTCGCCAGGATGGAAATGCTTCCTGAGCTCTGGGGGGAGAGATGGGTCACCGCATGGGTCACCAGGCAGCCACACCTGGAAATGTGGGGTTTACCCTTCAAGGGCTGCTGTGTGAGCAGGACTTACGCATGCAGGGGGGAGGGACTCCCTGGGACCTCTTGCATCAGTTGGTGACTCTGGCCAGCATCAGGCACCCGTGTGGGGACCGTCCAGTCCTGCAAGCCAGGCGCGAAACGGCCAGGTGGAGCACCTGCGGCCAAGACACGGCAGGGGTCCCACCCGTGGCAAGGGGTCCCCGTGCATTTCAGGTCCTAGCTGGGCTGGGAGCTCACTCGGGCTGACGAGGCTGCTCCTGGGCCTCAGTCTCTGGAGACACCCAGGCAGGGAGGGTGCTCACGAGCCCACTGCGCTCATCGGCATTATTTTTCCACTCGGAGCACATGACGTGGCTCGTATCCCGAGACCTGTTTCTGATCTTGTCTCCCCTTTTGCTTAGTGAGCTTGGGGACGTTTAATCAAACCCACATGTTTTGGATCCATGACCCCGGGGAGGAAGCAGCGTCCTGGGTCCTGGGGTTGTGACGCTGGCAATCCTGCTGAGATCCCGGGGATGTGGGCTCACAGTGGCTCGTGCTGGTGGGTGGCTGGCGGTCAGCATTATACACAAGACCCCCCTCCCTCCACCAAAAACAAAAACAAAAAGCCATCTGGGGTCTTTGAGTAGCGCTTGGAGGAATTTTGTCGTCTCCAGCGGCTGTCGTCTCCTGGACCGCCAACCCCTCGACCCCCACGAGACTCCCATCTGCTTCTTACTGCACTTTTCATGCCCCAAATTTCTCAGCTTTGCTGCAGACCCTCAAGTCAACATGACACACGGCAATCTGCAAAGCAAACAGCAGGACCCTGGTTGGGATAATCATCATACCACGCCGATGTTGTCAGAGTCCCCGCCGCCCACTCATCCAGGGCCGCCATGCAAACCAGGAGCCACACACAAGCCCACGCCCGAGCTCCTCCCTGCCTCACCCCCACAACCACTGAATTACCGACTCTGATCTAAAGGAGAAAATCAGCCCCAGGCAAGCTCCCAGTACAAGAAAGTGAAAAAAAAAAAAAAAAAAAGCATGAATTTAATGACCGTGGACCACACTCATCGCGTGGCCGGTCACCCACTCATGAACGTGGACAGGCTCTAACATGCTATTATTCCAACCAACGTCCTTGTATCTGCGTCCCATCCAGGCAATTATGTGTCATTTCTTCACATAGGATTTGACTGATTTCCCCGAGTGGAGGGCTAATTGAAATCAATCCTTCCGGGCCGGCTGCCGCCGAGTCCATGGCTCACGTCTATAGGACCCGTTCTTGTCCTTGAGGATCGCCCCCATGGGGGACAGCACTGGAGCAGGGACGCCCAGAGAGTAAATTGTGACTTCCTCCAGGCAAATCCTTTGACTCTGCTCCATTGTTCTTAAATATATATATATATGTGTGTATATATATATATATATATATATATATATATTAATGTACAGAAAGCACGTTTTGGGGGCTCTTCCCCAGGATAGAGAAAATTAACAGTGCGCGTAGGTGAGCCGTTTAGGTTTGCACAGACCGTGATAAGGAGCCCAAGGGTGATGCGCCCAGGTGGGTGTGGGTGCATCGCCGCCGGGCTCCATGTTCTCCCACTGGAACACCTGTGCATAAATCCGTAAGAGTCTCCAGGTGCTCACTAGGTTTCTGTTTCCAGCAGCAGCAAGGGTTATACAAGAGGGCTGGGTTCTCATGATGCATACCTCAGCATGCACGTGCGGGGGACGCCATGAGGGACTCTCTCCCCAGAGGTGGCAGTGCAGACCCTCCGTGGAGATGAGCAGGTGGTCCCTTCGAGCTCCACCCCATCCTGCTTGCCCTGCAGCTGATTACAGCTGAGCCGCTCTTGCAAGGTCAACCAGTGGTCCCGGTTCCTAGTGTCCCCAGGTCTCCTTTCGATGAAAGCCCTCCACTGCGATGACACGCACGGTCCTGGGAGGGGAAGTACTTCGTCACAAAGGACTAAAGGATGGACGTGCACCATAAAAGCCAAGA